TGAGAGGGAGGAAAGTGCTGCAACCTACGATGAGCAATAGGTACTTTAGCATGCAAAAAAGCCATACAGTAAATGTAATATATAAATTGCAAGGATAACGTGCCTTCAAATTAAGATTAAAATAATCTGAGCAGGAAAACTATGAATTTCTCCCTAGCCATTATTGGTAGAACTTCAGTAAAAATATAAAATTTGAAACGTTTTAAAGGGAATATCCGGATCTCCCCTCCTTCCGCCGCGCCCTTAAGACATGGCTCTTCCAACAAGCGGGATTGGCCTAGGGGAATTTTTAGCGGGGTTTTAAGAATAATTTTAAATTGACATAGGCCACATCAAATATTTCATTTTAATTTAGGTTTTAAAGTGGGTATTTTTATCTTTGTATCTGTTTTACCAGGCTGTCAGCCGCCCTGAGTCCGTAAGGAGAAGGGCGGGATAAAAAATTCAAACAAATAAATAAAATAAATAAATAAATAAATATAGAACCAGACATTTTGTGAGTTTTGTGATTTTTTTTTGTGATCGCTTGTGCTGATATAATTATTATAAAGAGGCTTTGCAACAGAGTGGAACTGAGGTAGGCAGTGTATCTGATTTACTGTTCCAAGCCCTTGCCAGAATTCACAGAACCAGACATATCAAAGTTGGGGAGGGAGTGTTTAAGGAGTAAACACAATGCCTTACATTTTGTAGAAGCTAAAAGTACAGCTGAATCCCTTGACTTCCAATCTCTGAAGACACCCAATTTATACATTACCTCACTCTCCCTACAACCTCCCTAGAAACCTCCCCCAAAAGTAAAGCTCAAACTGCTACATCAGATTGAAAAGTGTCGTCCACCCAAGCTTCCAACATTCTGCATCGAATTAGAAAGTGCTGTTTCTTCCCTTAAATATTTATTCATTCTCATATCAGATTTTTTTTGTTCTGACTTCCTTTTTAAAATGTCCTACTGGCAGTCAAGCGAAGACATAGTCATTACTTAAGAAGCAGATGTTACTTCAGGGATTAATCACTTCCTTCTATTCATTAAAAAAAGAAAGTTGGAAGTCTATATGTCAGCATATTGCTCATTAGTGCTACTCAATAGATCACTACATATAAGCAGTTTGTACAGTATGTTTTTCTGCAAATTATGTTTGATTCATTGCACTTTGATGAAAAACAGATAATCAATGAATAGACGACTTTATTACAGATCATAGACTTACCAATCATACAAAAATGGTATAACTAGTGATACCATTCAAGGGTTACTCATAAAGGCAATTTCCCCATCTTTAAATATGAGGAATGCCATAAGTGGGGAGCATATGTTTCTACATTTGTTCAGGAAGGACAACAAGAAACAAATGACAATTTGGCAAACTCTGCATTGGGTCAGCCACAATTGTATATGAAGTATTGATGAGTATTATCTTTATGTTATAGTATATATAGATAGCCAGATGAACCAAAGCATCTTCACTACTCACAGGTTCTCTTCTCTAAAGCTTCTTACTAAGGTTTACCACAGACAGCACGGGAGTCTAACTGGGAAAATTTTGAAGATGGTCTACAGGCAGAGAAAAATGTAGGACCCACTCTCTCCATCCATTTGGCGAAGCATACTATTCTCAATTCAGCCCTATACAGAGCCACAACTATTTTTGTGCCACTTAAGTCAAATCAACAAAGTGATGATGGTGATGATAATTCGATGATGATGATTTAAATTTATATGCCACCTGATTCCCAGTGACTGTAGGCAGTTTTCAAATTGTTAAAAATATTTAAAAACAAGGAAACTACACAGAACCAAAGGAAAAATGGCAGCGAATACAAACCCAGATAGGATGCTTTCAGAATATCTATTAGATGTTCTCAAAAGAAAAGACTAGGTGCGCTTTTGCACTACTAACTGCACTAAGTACCTGTTAATTTTGTCCATGTGTTCACCAAGGATAAATTCTTTTTCTTGATCTAGTTTGCACTACGAGAAAAAAGATAACAAAACTTCTTTCAGTACCAAATCATTTAAAATGGTTACAAAAAACAAAGATTATGCTATTTCTTTTAATGAAAGAAAAACTAATCATTATGTCAATAGCCCATCTTTATCTTTGTTATTATAATTAATTAGAAATGGATAAGGGTTTTCCCCCCAAAAAATGTTTATTCTTAATCTCTGATCTGCAAAAAGCATTCTTGTGCAATTCCACTGATATACTAAGGACCATATTTGTGCTAGATCCTTGGGTGTTCTTGTCAAGCACAGATTCCGGATATTTTAAAAAAATATTGCGGATAAAATTTACGTAAGATCTTAGTGCTTCTGGAACAAAAAAACCTCCTCCTCATATAATAACGGCTACATTCCTTAATTGGTTGAATCTATTCTGATGCAGTGTATTTGCCAACCTATATTGAAAAATAATACAATATTAAATTTCCATCAAACAATTGTGAGAGGTGGTAGTGGCAGGAAATGTTAATTTTAAGTTTTAATACAGTAAATATTGATAAAATATGACCCATACAAACAAAAGCTATTTGGAGGTCCTGGGAGCAAAAAAATTAAAAAACACTACAATTATAATGGGAAGCCCTTTCCTGTAAAAGCAAACAAATCTAATGATGAGCCACCCAGGGGAGAAAAAAAATGGAAAGAAAAGGACTGCTGTATCTGTTTGTGAGAAGAGATGCACTATCTCAAATTCCTCCTTCTAATTTTCCAAATTTAGCTCCCAGACATCCTATCAAGGGGACGCTCCTATCTATCTACAATAGCCCACTATGGAAAGGAAACTATACTTAGACACATTTTGATAATGAGAAGTGTCAGTGCAACAACTAACACCCTATCTGCAAATGAGAATTGTCTAAGTTGTAGTTCTTCGCAAGCTACGTGCCGTGTTTCTGCAATATGAACATATCTGAAACACAGTTAACACTAGCTACAAATCATAACAAAAGGCACAACGCTAATATCCTGGACACTCCACAGACTGCTTCCACTCCATTAACTTTTAATCTTTGCAGATCATCATATCCTTTCCTCTTTGTGGAAAACATACTGCTGTGGACATAAATTCAGTCCATTTTGCTGACAGAGAACCTGAGTGCTGAAATCGGTGGCCAAACTGTAAGATGATTTATAGTTCAATTTCTGTCAGTGCACAAGGTTTCAAGGAATGCAGAGATGAGAGTCAACCATTATCTTTTTTGCATTTATTTAAAGATGCATTCTGTGTATTTCAAAAGCCTGGATCACTTTAAAAAAAGCATTTTACAGAGAAGAATCCTCTATGTATCTATTCAGAAGTAAACAATATATATATATAGAATGCAACCTTAGAACTTTCTAATAGAAAAACAGATGCAACCTTAGAACTTTCTAATAGAAAAACATCCTTCTAAGTATTCCATGTAGAATAACCTTGACACAGCAGAAGAGCAAATATTTGGGAACAATATTTTATTTGATATTATTTGATCTTTTATGCTAAATCAAGAAGGGAACAATCTCAAAATTAAAAACTCAAAGGAATAAAAAGGTTTTGTTTACTTCAAGGATAGTATGCCAAGCTTGCTATACCAAGCAACTGATCATTATTTCAACAGTATTAGAGTATTCATACTTCACATTGTTATCTCTCTCATGAATTTTAAATCATGATTGCTTCTAGTTTATCTTATTTTTAAGAAGTTGGTGTCACTTCATTTTCTACACAAATAGCTTATACACAGGGCTATTGTAGCGTATAAGAGACGGTGTGCCCAATTTCGAACCTTCCTCTGCTGCACAAATTAAAAATGAAAACAAAGGTGTGCTGTGTATATAAAGATTCTCTATTATGAAATTTACTATATATTTAAATTTTCATTTACCTCCTTATGATAGGAATCCAAAACATCCGCAACATTTGCTTTTGTGGGGGATATTAATTCTATCAAGTCTTTTTCGAGAGCAGCCATCTGCAAATAAAAGGATAGTTATAAAAACTATACAAATCTATTGTCATATTCACAGTTTGAAACTTATCGAAAGATCTAACATTTAAACAATGGGGTGGGAAGCCAAAATTTTGTTTAATACAAGCCTTAATATTATCCAATGACATTTTTGTCAAGGAAAGTGAGGTAATTTTTCTTGATAATGTCAAAAGAGAGATTTTAGATACCTACAAAACAATGTTACATGAAAAACTTGGGCTTCTCCTTTTTGCTCCCCGACCCTTATCTCTACAACTAGCATAGAACTCTAACTTCTGAAAAATTATAAGGTAATTAAGTGATTTCAAGATTGATGTTAGAAAGAACTGTTTGAAACCTTGGGAAGCTAGTTCATCTTTACTCTCTTTCACAACATTTTATAAAAAGAAAGGGGGGAAAGCAACTGAAGTGTGGGATATCATCACTTTTTTAATAATTTCCGTCTTCAGGTGGACATCTAAGGGGAGAAAGCAGAAAGGTCTTTCAATAAGGGTATAGACTTCTGAGGGGCCAAACCACTTCACTGTAAGATGTTATGGAGTCCACTGTATTGTATCCTACCCTGGTTTCTAGCAACAAAAGGACTTGAGATTGGTTACTGAAGGGCAGAAATGTCTTTCTTCCTATAGTCCACAGCCTATTTTCTAAAGGACCCCTCCCCTCAACCTAGAGATGAGACCAAACAATACAGCAGGGAGAGGAGAAAAATCCAGCAGAGTCTGAATGCAAGGTATTTAAAACAATAGATTTGCGTATACTGAGTTCTGATTTGAGTGGTAGTCTGGAAATTTATTTGTAAATTAAACCAGACAGGGTTAAAAGACAAAGGGAGAATTGATCACCTGATCAAAAACTGCACGAGGTTATCTACAAATATTCTTGTCTCACAAAATTAGGAACAAGGATGCAGCATAAGCAGTAACTGTCAGGCCTAAGCCCAAAGATGATACAATGAAATCCAACTGAGTCCAATTCTTTATTCGCTTATACCTAATAGACAGAATCTTGCCAGACTAAAACTAGAAGCTTCTAACCTACTAGATATATGCTAAGGAATTCTAGGGTGCGGCTACCCTGAACCTCTTCTTCCCTCTCCCATCCAGCTCTGGACTGGGTTCTCTCTGGCATGTACTGCCTCCTCCTCCTTGAGAAACTGTGGTGCTACTGAAATACTTTCTTTTCCAGGTGCACATTCCATAACTTTTACCTATTTTTGGCAGATTTACCTTCTCTGCTTCTACAAAGTGAGTTGCAATTCCTGCTTTGTGGACATCTCTTCCTCTCAGCCTAAATCCTGTAAGACCAAGAAAATGGCCTAGCCTCCCTGGAAGCCTTGGTAAGAAATAGCCTCCACCCACATCAGGGAAAAGACCTGCAATTAAGGGGGAAAAAAAGATATCCAAGATGAAAAAAAGCTGTATAATTAGATCTTAAGTGCCATTTCTCCCCCCCCTTGCTAATAACTAGGCCTTGTAAGTGAGCTGCTTTGCTTGAAAATTAAGTCGTTTGCTCTTTTGCTCATCTTGTGGAAAAACCATGCTGCACCATTTTTGCCCACACAATTTACTTGAGAACTCTGCTGAAGGAACATTTCCCCCCTTTTTTTATCTTGAAGAGCTGATGTGAATTGTTGTGGGGAGCAAATATTAGTAGCAACATCACAAAGTACAATTTACTGCAGAACATGTGTAGGACCCTTTCCTAAAAGTTTGTATTCATGTGAATAATCTTTTCAAAGCCATCTTCAGACTTTAGGATGATATTATAATGGAAAATGGTATTGATATACTAGGAGCCACTAGGCCTTTTTCTTTTGTGATTGGAAATATAGTTCTCAGAAGCCAAATCAATGATACTATTTTTTTTATACCAGCTATTTTAAAAGCCTTGTGCTTAAACACCTAGTCAGTGTGCGAGTAGTCTCAGGGTTAAATAAAATGGGACACTATGGAATGCATCCAGTCCATATTTCTAAGTTACCCAAATCCTGGGAGAGTCTGGGTAGTGTATACATTCACAAACAAAGTATAAAACCAAACTACTGGTTTATGAATACTGGGAGAGAAGAGACCAGATTTTGGCACTTAGGTTAGGGAGACTCTGCAGTCATGCTGCAGTCCCCAAACTGAGCAGTCACATCCACATTGGAAGAAAAGTTTTCTTAATGTATAAATGGTTAAGAACCTTTGATAATGGTTCAAGTCACAATGAAGATCAAAAGTTAATGAAAGTTCTTCATTATTGTCTCTATCCAAATCAGACCTAACCACGATGCCACAATTTGTATTCTCAGAACTGCCACTTGTTAGCCTTTTTCAGTTAAAAAAAGGCTGTCTGAAGAGTATCTTTCTAAAGGAGTTTTTAATACCCTGCAAGAGTATTCTTGTTCTACCCACCCTTAGATTTGTTTCACTAGATCTTGGAAGCCAAAAATACAAGCTCAACCGACACTCTGGAATGACAGCTACACAGATGATGCTGTGTGGTCAAAACATTGCCTTTGATTAGTGCAATCACCCCGGAGCTTTTGGTTTTCTCTTGCTTCAGTTCATTAGGTTGTTTTTCTTCAAGATATTCTAATGATGTCCCAATCTTCTCCCCATGAACAAAATGCTTTTATTCACAGTATGAACTCTGAACAAATAGCCCGTGATCTATGGAATAAGTGCTAAATAATGTTTAAAAACAAATGTACTGTATACTTCTGGAGATCATCACATTTTAGAGGATGTTGGTGTTCTTAAACTAAACATAGTGAGACTTCAGGTGACAGTACTTTTAATTTTTTTTTTAATTCACCATTTTTGCCCTAAAATATATCCCCCCATTTTGGGATCCGCAGACAATATGTGGTGTCCCCATGCATTATATTGTTGCCTCTTAAGTTAATCCGGTAGCTAATCTCTGATGATGATGTCCTAATTCTATATAAAGAAAAGGTTAAGTGATTTTTTTTTGTCAAATTCCATCTCCTGCTCTGCTCAGATTTCAAAAATAAGCAAAAGGGCTCAGGAACTATTCTCCCTTAGTATGAAAAAGTATATTCCGTGAGTGGAAATTAAAATAAAAAAGTAACTCAAGAAATAAAGACCAAATCATTATTGTTATTCAGGGGTTATTTAATGTTTTCTCCTGTAAGTTTGAAGCGGTATACATGGAGGTGAATGAACTTCTCACAGACCCTCTGTGGGATCTTAGGGTCAGAGTCTGTGAGTAGATCAATATTATTAAGTGCCACAGCAGGACAGGAGCTTGACTCACGTTCTAGCCAGTATTATATAGTAGTTTCTGTTTCTTTGTTAAAAGTCAATATAAAATGCAATGTATGATGCTTACCTATTCCTACCTCTGGCATTGCAAAAACAGTCCTCTCTGTAGCAACTCTGAAATGCCCATGGACAGACAAGCCCACACCCTACCAAAGGAAAACAAAAAGGAAGGAAAAGGAAAGGAAAGTTATGACCTGAAATAAATTCTGGAAGGAACTCTAGTAACCTGTTTTCTACTGTAGTCCATACATAGGCCTAGCCACTCCCCCCCCCCTCCATTTTTTGCCACCATTTTTATTGGTGCTACAAGACATAGGCCAGTGATGGCAAACCTTTTAGAGACTGAGTGCCCAAACTGCAACCCAAAACCCACTTATGTATTATCGGGTGCCGGGTGGGCGTGGCCCATTGTGTGGGTTTGGCCCATTGGGTGAATGTGGCTCATTGGGTGGGTGTGGCCCATTGGGTGGGGGTGGCTGTGGTGGTAACGGCAGACTGGGTGGGACTAAAAAGTTCAATCAATCAATTCCAACTTTGCGAGATCTTTTTTTTCCCAAGAATTTGAAATTGATTGATTGAAACTTTTTTTTTTTTTGCACATGGCGGCGGAGGCCTAAAGTGAAAAGGGTTTTATAAAACCCAGCTGAAGGCCTAGGACTGGGGCAACGGCATGCATGCCCACAGAGAGGACTCTGCGTGCCACTTGTGGCACCCGTGCCATAGGTTCGCCACCACGGACATAGGCCATGCATTTGTCAATCACTTAGAAACCATTTTAAAGTGACTAAAGTATGTGCTTGATTTAATTAATACAGATTTAATATAGGTGCTTAGAAACCCTGCAGATGCTAAGTACTATTTTAAGAGGCATTCTCCCATGCCGTTTAACATAATGCCAACTGCGTATTTACATACTTCTTGCAAGCATATTAATTGTGTCTTTATTACTATTCTACTTATGAAATTTACATCTCATGTCTCCTCAGGATAATCTACTTGGGCAGGGGTCCCCAACCCCCGGTCCGTGGACCAGTACCAGATCATGACATGCCAGCAACTGGTCCACACAAACAAGCAAAGCCCCATCTGCGAGATGCAGGTAGCACATAAAACCACACCCCCTCTGGTCCGCGGAAAAACCTTTCTCCACGGAACTGGTCCCTGGTGCCCAAAAGGTTGGGGACCGCTGTACTTGGGGATCTCTCTGTGTTTTATCCATACAACAGAAACATTCTCAGGTTACTTTGAGAGAGAGCGATTGGCTCTATGTGACCTAGTAAGTTTCTATGGCTGACAGTGGGCTTGAACCTGGATCTCCCCATTTCTACACCATTGCCTTAACCATTATACCAAATTGGCTGTCAAACTGCTACTTATTGTAGAAATACAATTTTCATCCATTCAGACATTTAGGCACACTTAAAAGCTTTTACAACTAAAAGTCCTTTAATTTGGTCATGCCATTGTTTTTATCTCTGGAAACAAACCAGTGTTTCTCCCATTAGACCCCATATTTCTCATCAGATATTTCCGTGCAAGTTGGGAAAACTGCAGGCACGTACTCCTCCCATACTTCTCAACGTGGATGTTCAAAAGTATTCACTATTCACCATAGTGGAAAGGTCAGAAGTACTCGCTCATTTGCTCAGAACAGGAAAACACTCAGCCCAAAAGAACCGGTTAGACAGCCTGTTGTTTTTTTTCAGAGTCAGGGATTATCACTTCTGGCACCTGAGATAAGAACTTCCCTTTCTGTAATGAACAACTCAATCTATCATTGTCAATAGTAATTTAAAGGAACAATTCCAAGATTCAAAATATAAAGGAGCACCATCGAAGATTAGACAATTTCTGATACTCCAAGTATTTCTGAATTACATCTCTTCACCATTGCCCACACTCCTTAGAGAAGCTGGGAATTGTAGTTCAGCAATATCTGGAGTGCTACAGACTGACTATCCTTGCTTGACACCAAAATGCATCTCCAATGGAGTATCAGTTCTGTTGATTGACCTTCTAAATTACAATAAAATGCTAATTAAGCCATTTCCTAGCAGGCCATCACTGTTGGGAAACCAAATTATTTCAGGAGATGGCCTATGTATTTCAAAGCTGCTAGAATAAATTCTTTAGTAGGCAATCAAAAGATTCCTCCATATGCATATTGTGCTAGCAGAAAAAGGGTGTCTTGCTATTCAGTAAGGTCAATTCAGGTAAGGATGAGCTAACATTTTGTAACATTTAAAGATTAGGCACAAAAAAAAACCCACGAAATGCAAACACAAACCACATTTTTTTTTATCACACTTAAAGTTATGCCTTATTAAGAGGAAAACTGAGACTCAAGCCTCCGTAACACTGAAGCTCAAATTTTAAGAGATATGAAAGCAGTTTTGCCTTGCCAAGCAGCTCCTAATTTATAACTTCATTATTAAATGAATCTTTCTTTTATAAATTACATGAAACTGCAAAAAATAAACATTACAACAAGAAAGCTGTGGTATGGTAATATATATTTTATGCATTTGCATGCTTGCATCTGATGACTCAGATGTTTAAATCAATGAATTAGTCAACCCCTATGTTGTTTACATTTTATTTATAGATTCAACCTTCTCAGGTTAGAATTACTTCTATTAGATGCCAACAAATTTCTCCTTTTTTACTATCCAGTATAAAATATACATTTTCACTGACTAGCAAGGCTAGCAATGTCTGAGAAAATCTCAGTTTATTCCACTTACGTTTACCAGGAATAACTTATGAAGACCTCTGTAAAAGTCAGAGGTAAATCATAGAACAGTGATTCAGACTAAAATGGGGTCATGCCAAAAAATGACAAATTCTGAGTATGCAACAGTGGTGCGGGGGAATTTAATTATTTTTTTTCCAGTTTTAAAACTTAAAAAGTCAGTAACATTGTCTATCACTGTTTCTCCCCTTCTGATAAATTTCTGTAAGGAAGCCCATCTATATTCCCAGCATCTTTGGATGCAGCCTTCATGACCCCTCCCAAACTGGTAGGTTATAGTATAACAGAAAATACTTTATATACATACGGAGTGCTCATATTAACTAATGGCAATTAATTTAGTGCTATTCACTGTAGATATAAATCAAAATAAATTTAATTAAATTAAATCACAGTTCCCCAACATCAGCTACTTTTTTTTTTTTTACTGTGGAACATTCCACATTCCCAGAATTAGCAAAAGAATCCATGGCAGCACTATTATACCACACACCCAATCTAACCAAATATACTAAGTTTGAAATACCCAGAATCGTGGACTTCATTGATCTTTGCCTTGCTACTACTTTCAATTTGATGGAAAAATATACCCACAAATCAGAGGAAGACCCATGGGATCACCATTTTCAGGACTCATAGCACAGACTGTAATGCAATGTCTAGAAATTATAGTATTCCCACGTATACAGCCAAAAGTATGGATCCAGTATGTTCGTGACACCTTTGTCATAATAAAAAAGGAATAGCTAAAGAAGACACATGAAACAATCAGCAACATCTTCAGAAGAATAAAATTCATAAGGAGGAAACAATAACTTTCTACCCTTCCTCAATATCCTCATCAGCAGAGCTAATGGTGCCAAATTAGCAACACAAGTCTATCATAAAACCATCCACACTAAGCAAGTGCTCCATTATCAAGGAAACAACCCAACCTCCCACAAGAGAAGCTGTGTGAGAACACTATTTAGACAAGTACATACTACAACCCTGAGCATCAGGAAAAGCAAACAGACTATTTAAACATCTTCCAACAGAATGGGTACCCATGCAACTTTATCAAAAAAACTGATGAGATCATTCAACCCACTACTGCACAACCAACAAAATCCATGAAGAG